TGTGCCAGACTATTTGACATTTCTGAATAGCATTTTTGATAATTCAGGCTATGGGCCATGGACAAAAAAGGTGTCGGTTTCTGTGTTAAGGCCTCATGTAAGTAAGTGTTCATCAGAATACTCGGGCTGCTAGTTGTTGCCAGAGATTTGAGACAGAGTCATCACACCATTGTCAGCTCGATGGCATTAACCCAGTCAAAGAGAGGGCAGAAAATTTCAGGGTCACCTTTAAAATATTTTTCCCCTATATTTAGGGCTTTCATTTATGCAAAGGGAGGTGGTATTCCAAATCAAATGTTAAGAAAGAGCTAGAGTTGTGGGGAACAAGCAAGAGGGCCATAAAGAAGATAGGGAACATGAAAGAAGGGACATGAGAAGAGTGGAGTTATAAGAGACAGGAAGAACATGGAAATTGTTGAAAATTGGCCTCAAAAAGACTAGAGTTCTATTATACTTTTCTTCTAAGAAACCGGTAAGTTCTTTACTTTTTCTTGCCACAAAAATGTACAAGTTTGACATGACCCAAGTAACCAAAAGGTCACTGTAGTTTAAAATCATACTTTCTGAAATCATGCCACTGATCAATTTAATGGATTTCCAAACTCTGTACCAGATCATATATTAAGCACACATCTGGGCAGAGGTAGGTTAAATAGGACTTACCTTAAAATCACCTAAATGCTCGGCCCATCCAGAGAACTTCCAAAGACAACAAGAAAACACTGACTTCACTCCCACAGAAGCTTGGCCTATAAAAAAACCAAACCTGCAAGTTTCATGATAAGAAGAGTAAAAAATAATTTGAAAAATTATACGGCTGGGCATGGTGGCTCACACGTGTAATCCTAGCACTCTGGGAGGCTGAAATGGATGGATTGCCTGAGCTCAGGAGTTCAAGACCACGTTCAGTGCAAGAGTGAGAAGAAGAGTGAGACCCCATCTTATAGATAGATGGACATTGTGACGGGTGCCTATAGTCCCAACTTCTTGGGAGGGTGAGGCAAGAGAATCACTTGAGTCCAAAAATTGGAGGTTGCTGTGAGCCATGACACCATAGCACTCTACCCAGGGTGACAAAGTGAGACTCTGTCTCAAAAAAAGAAAAATTGTAGAATAGGACAGATATAGGACTCACCTCTCCACCTGAAGAAATCAGGGGTTTTTGACACATGCCGTCTTTGACCCAAAACTGGGCAGTGTTGGAGATCTATCCAAACCTATCCCAAGTAACAACACAAAACTCTGTGTGTGTGTGTGTGTGTGTGCATGTGTTTTAAGTGGCTCAAGTAGACATTAAAAACATTATTCAATCAAGGTATATTAGGGAGTACCTGAGGACAAGGTGATGTCACAGGATTTTTACAAGATAGGATGGATTTGAGTAACTGTCCTTGTCTTTTCAACTTTAGCAGAAGTTTTCACCTTACCTCAAACTCATGGATCAGGCTTGGTCCTGTTTTCCTGCCCCTTGTTGGGTAGTCCACTCACCAAGACAATGACACTTTGTGAGAACTGGATTTACAAACCTTGTGATTTTTGTAGATAGTCATGGATCTGGGTGGTTTATGGGAAAAAGATAGAAAGAAGAAAAGAAAGAGATGAAAGTAGAAGACAAGGAGGACCCAGAGTACCTGCTGTTGTTTGTTTTAAATATTTTGCACCTTCATTTCACAAAGTTTGACCCCACATACCAGCCTGCCCATTCATAAACTACATTCAGACATTTTTTTTTCCTTCAGCTGACTACAATCCCCACGCAGTCATACATACAGGCTCAGTGAGGTGTACAGTAAGTCCGCAATGAATGACATGGTGAAACATATCTAAACTAACCGTTCACATGCTTACAAATGCCTTCTCTTGTGTGAGCTTAGTATGTGATGTGCCATTTTTATCTCACTGATGATTGCTGCCGGACTCCCTTGACTTTATATTCCAAAGAACTTAATTTGGCACAGAGTAGGGGTAATAAAGAAACATCAACTATAAACAGCAACACCCTGAAGTTGAAAGCCTTCCTTTCAAAGCTCTGTATTAATGGCTATAGGGAGGAAAATGGTATTTTAAGATAGAAGCCTGGAGCGGTGCATGTGGCTCAAAGGAGTACAGTGCTGGACCCATATGCCATAGGTGGCGGGTTCAAACCAAGCCCTGGCCAAATAAATAAATGAAATAGTTCTAAAAAAAAGAGAGAGAGAGAGAGATATGAATCTGAACTTCTCTTCATTGGATAGCAAATTCCCTTTCATTCTCCTCAAACCATGAGTCCTCATTCTTCTCATGTGGCCTTGGGGACTAAGCCCAAGCTTTCAGCAAGGTATGTAATCTTTAGTGTCTGTTGGTCAAACATGGAGAGTGTGACAACTCTCAGTTCCACAAGGGTGGCTTGTGAGCCATCCTTAACGTCAACTAATTTGTCAAGGGTCTGTATTGTAAGAGTAAGTGTCAGGATCATTTATCAACTTCCTGAGAGGCCTAAGGGTACCATCTGTTAGCTACTAGAGTTGCTATTATAACTTGTCCAGCTCATATCCCTAGGAATTGATAGAACAGAGAAGGCTGCCAACTACACAAACCAAACCAAAGCCCCCACCCTTTTTCTACTCAGGTAGAGAACTGCCTTTATCCCTGTGATACTATCGTTTACCTCACAAATGCTTTGCAATCTGAAAAAGATAAACTAGTACAAAAGAGTTTCAGGCAATTATCACATAGGTTATACATTGGATCAAACAGACTTCTTCTGGCCCAATAACCATTTGGTTTGCACTTTTCTCCACTCAAGTGAGATACATTTGCAGAAGGAAAAGCAGGGAATAGCTGAGGATAACCTGTAAACTGAAAGATATTCAGTAGTTCCTTGTGTTCTGAGATATACAAAATTTCTGGCTAAATTACTTCTCAGTGCACTACTTGTAAATCTTGCCAAATTTCTGGAACAAACTGAAGGAAAACAAAATATTTCATCCCAAAATATATTCCTTTGACATATTTCCAGAAGGCTACTCAGAGGAGCTGGAAATATAAGAACAGCAGGAAATCTCTTCTGTAGGGGAAATTTGTATGTGTACAGAAAATCTACATTGAAGCAGCCAGGTTTTCTCTGAGGCCCTCACTTGTCAGGATCTAGGAAGGATTAACTAAGAGTCTGACCCCTTGAAAAGTGTTGAAGAAATATTTTGCATCTACTTTCTTTGAGGCCTACTGCCTATGAGCTTTATCTTTCTAATAAGACCATCTTTGCTGACCAGGCCTCTTCATCTCTCCTTCCCACAACCTACCTATCTATCATACCTGATTTACAACCATAACCTATTTGGGGACATACTTTGAGCTCCTATTTTATCTTAGGTATGAAAGCATCAAGCATATGGCCTTTTGTTTGAGAGCTTATAGTTTGCAAAATTTCTGTGTACGTTAATAATTTTGAGAGCTGCGGGTCCCATATTAGTCTTTTACACGTGGTTA